GGCAGAATATTTCAAACCCTCTTCATGAAGTAGGACCACCACCTCCTCCAATCCCTTCTTCAAGCATAGAAACTCTTTCTTTGAGAGACACAGCAGGAGAGGGAGGCCTTGGACTCCCAGCCAAGAAGTAGGGACTTTGGCCTGTACGTAGTGGCAGCAGCACCCATGGTGGAGCCAAGGCAATGGAAGGAGGAAGACGGGATGATGTTTAGAAAGATCTTTTAGGCAGCCACAGGGGAAGATGTGAAGACACTGAGCCCAGCATTTGAGAGGCTGTGGCAATAACCTGGAAGAATTTAAAGAAGCATCCATCCAACTCTTTTATTTTATAGAAGGGCAGTCTCAGACCCAGAGATCAGATGACTTGCCCAAAGTCACCCAGCAACATCAATGGCAGAATCAGGGCCTTGACCTGTGTGTCCTGTCTCCTAGCACAGGCCCCCTCCATGTCCCAAGATCTTCAGAGGAGAAATTTCCCTGTTGTTCTTTGCTTCTGAATTTGCTGTGTGTTCTGTCCCTACCTCGGACCAGCCTGCTAGGGAAGGATGGGGAAAGTGTTCCCAGAGGACGGGGTAGAGAGCATTACCCATTGCCCGTCTGTTATGGAAGATGTTGCTGCCGGTTCTGCTGCTGCCTCACCACCAATCAGGGAGCTTTCCAGCCGCTGGAGGAAGCCAGGAGCCAGGGGATGGGGCTGTGGTGATTTGTGACCTCACAGAAACAGCAGGACACTAATGTACCTGGCTGGTTTGCTCAGGCTGCCAACTCAGCAGGAGAGGATGCATTTAAAGGTCATATTCGGACTGGAGACCAGGATGGCGGGTTAGCCCTCAAGGGGCCTGCCCACCCAGTGCTCTTGTGACAGGTTGGTCACCAGAGGGCAAGGCCTCTCCTTTCCTGAGCAGATGCCAAGGGTAGATTCTTGTAGCCTGGGCAGGGAAGGACACCCTTGTTCAGTGTAAGATTATCCAATAAGCAAGGTGAACACGGGTTTACTTGTGCTCACTTCCTAACCTAGGAAATAGTTTCACATTTTTCACCACATCAGAGATTCTGCTTCTAGGTATGGCTACCATCAGTCTCCCAACCCCACAACACCTTCCTACAGAATCAAAGCCTTTTTTCAAATTTATAATCCCTGACAGGGACAGAGTACCCTCTGAGTACCCTTACTCACCAATCTGTAGTGAACAGTTTCTCATCTTTGAAATCGTTCACTACAGAGTAGTAAGTAAGCACAAGTAAGTCTGTGCTTACATTGCTTATTGGGTAACCTGTCCTGCTCTTGTTAGTGGGGTTCCTGAAGAGCTGCCAGGGTTGGAATTCAGGCTCTGTCAGTCACTGCCTGTGTGAACTTGGGCTGGTCACACAGCCTCTTTTGTCTAAAACACAGGATTGATTCTAAGTCTCTCACCTCTTGGGGTTCAAGTGTCTCCCAGGTCTTCAGGCACTAACCCGTTTCCATAGCTAAGGAATTTTTTTATTTTTATTGTGATTTGGGTGGAAGTTTAGAGAAAATTCATTTTCCATACATACAGCAGTTCATACACATTTTGTTTCATGGCATTGACTGCAATTCCCACAATGGAACAGCTCTACCTCTTAGCTGTGTCCCTCTTTCCTACGCATTCCTGCCTCTGAGCTGTCTCCCTGTGCAAACACGACCCTTCTGTTCTTCCATGATTGATCATTCTAAGGAGGGTGTCTACCTGGTGTAAATGTTCACCCTATATGCCTGTCTGTTGTTTGGCTGGAAGCCACAGGAGTAAGTTCAATTCCAGAAGTGAAGGGGCCATAGTCTCAGGGGTCTCCCCACGCTCTATCAGACCAGTAAACCTGGTCTTTTTTTATGATTTTGAATTTTGCTCCATGTTGTTCTCTCACTCTATCCAGGATCTCCTGCACTGATCCCTTTCTGAACCACCGTTAACGAATTCCAATAGCTTTCCATCTTAGGGAAGCAAGATTGTGTGTCTAGAACTATGACTCATCATATTTAGCTTCATTTCAATGGGGAAATTGAGACCTGAGAGGGGACAAGCCTTGTCCATAGAGCCAGGAGCCAGTCAGAAGCCAGATGCTAGCCCCCCGCCTCCCTTCCCGAGATTCCTTCCAGCAGTACCAGGCAGTGGAGGAGGAAGCCAGGAGGTTCAGCCATTTGCTCTGTGTGATGGCGCTGTGCCTTTGAGCAGCCCTCTAAACTTCCAGGGGCTGCTGGGTGCCTGTAGCTTTAAGCTCAGAGTCTTCAAAAATTAAAAAAGAAAAGAGGGCAGGGCCAGTTCTCCCTGTACCACTGGAGGGAAGCCTTGAGGTGGAGACTGCAGATGTCATTCTTGTTTGGCTTCCCAAGATCCTTTTCTTTACATCTGCCTTACCTCTCCCCAGTAGATTTGGCCTGGGTTGCTTTTTCTTTTTTTTTTAAGCGCATTGGACTGGTGGGGGCAGGAACTGAGGTGGCAAAGGTCAGAGGGGCAGCTTAAAATGTGCCAGGAAGTTCTGAGACTCAGCATCTGGAGCTGGGATCAGTGGCATGCTTAATCCACATGTGGACAACCAGATTATAAAGGTTCATTCCCACAGCCTCGGATGTCCAGGATAGAGTGGTTCAGGCGTGACCTGCAGGGAGGAAGAGAATGGAAGAGGGATGACTTGGTAAACACTCATGCAAGAGACAGAAGGAAGTGGGAGTGTTTATTCACCAGCAGGATTGCATTTTGCTGGGTGGTGTGGTAAGAGAAGCGGGGCCAGGCTAGATCCAATGGTGGAAGATGGGGAGAAGAAAGCTATTTCTAGGTTGCTCCCAGCTCAGTCCATCTCCTGCAGTTTTGCTAGTGCAGTCTCTCCAAAGCACATTCGTTTCACATGTTCTATGTATTTACTCTGTGTCAGGCATTGGGCTAAGTACCGAGGATTCAATGGCGATGAAGATGATAAAATGCAAATCTCATCACCGTCTGTCCTTATTAAAATCTCTCACTGGCTTCCTATGTATTTCAGAATAAAGACTTAGCCTGGCATTCATATTCTAACCCCTGGCTACAATCCCAGCCCCACTGCCCATCACCTGAGGTCCCAAACATATCAGATTATTTGCTTATCAATAAATATGCCAGGGAGGAACCTAGGAGCCTGCCTCTGAGTCTCGTTGTCTGTCTGTCCTCCACCTGGTCTGGCTTCTCTGTCAAACCCTACATGTCCATTAAAGGTTAGTGGGAAGTGTCACCTCCTTGAAGAATTTTTTCAGAACCTCTTCCTACTAGCTTGAAAGAATTGGGGGAAAAAGAGAAGAAAAACCCTAACACATTCTACATGCTTTAAGGGATTTATGCCGTCTTCCTTCAGGATACTAGGGCCTGGAATATTCCCTTACACAAATTCTTTCTTTCTAGGGTCTCATAACACAACACTTCACATCACCTATTATTTTCTAACATATTCTACAGATTGATCTTGTCTACTTTCTGTGTCTAGGACATTAAGTTACATGTGGGCAGAGAGTTTTGTCTGTTTTATTCACTGTTGAATTCCATTGCTTAAAACAGTGCCTGACACATAACAGGTGCCGAATAGACATTCGTTGAATCAATTAGACAAACGAAATGCACAGTCAAAATTATGGGGTGTTTCTGAGAGCTGCATGGGGAAGTACAGGGGCAAGAATCCGTCAGCCTGAGCTCGGCGTCTATGTCCTAGGAAGGCAAAAGGACAAACCCAGATGCTAACCCAGTGTCAGGCATAGAGTAACTGTGAATTGAACCTTGAACACGCTGCCCTGGGGAGGAAATAGGGGCTTTCCGGAGACCCGCCTGCAGACAGTTGTATCCTTTCTGTGAATGAACCAGTACAATGGGCTGGTGTTGGTCCTTGCATGTTCTCACTAACTTTCACCTAGTTATAACCAAGAACTTCAAAGTGGAGATGGAGAGCTAGAAAGAACCTTGGCGGGGTGGGTGATAGTCCAGGGTTTGACCCCTTAATTCAACCCTTCTGGGGGCAGGCACCATCTTGACACTTTGGATCTACAGCGGACGCGCCCTATCCCCTTCTTCAACACCCTCCTCCTTCAGCATCCTAGGGCCTGGAATATTAGCTCACACAAACACTTTCTTTCTGGGGTCTCATTTCAGTGGTAGCTTCCTCCCGCCGACACTCCTCTCAAGACCTGAGTCCAACACATAACACAACATTTCACATCACCTGTTATTTTCTAACATTCTGTACAGAGTCATCTTGTCTACTTTCTGTGTCTAGGACATTACGTTACCTGCTACTTTAGCTGGGAAACAGAGACCCTTGCCCCCTCCCCTCGTAATTTCCCGGAGAATACGGGCGAGGCGATGAAACAGCATTCGCTAGGACTGATGCTGCTCTCGTCCCCGCCAGGGGTCCCCAGTAGCTGCCGAATTAGAAACCTCTCCAATCCTCCACCGCCCGCGCGCTACGTTCTCTGGGAGATGTAGTCTTGGCCGCCCCTTTGTCCTTGGTCTTGCCTACGTATCATCCCCACAACACCAGAGGATGAACTACAACTCCCAGAGGGAGAGGCGGGGGCTTGAAGGGGGAGGGGTAGAAGAGTCTGGAGAAGCTGGGGCGAAGGAACGGGGGTAAGGAGGAGAAAGGGGCGTGTTGGGGGACAGCGGGGGACGGGGGAGACTCTCACAAGACGGTGGCTGCCCGACTTGGGGAGCAGTAGCCACAGACGAGGAAAGGACTAGGGAGGGGTCTGGGCGGGGTGCGCACGGCGGGCGGGACCTGGCGCGTCACGCGGCGTGGGCGGGGCCGCTGGGGGTTGTCCGCCCGCGGCACGCACAGCAGCGGCAGCCGCCTAGCACCGGTCCCGCGGTCGCACCTCGAGCCGCATCCTCCGCGCCTCCGCCGCTACAGCTGCTCTTTTCGTGGGTCGGTCCCTCCGGCACACGGGCTCCCGCCGCGCCTCAGCCGCCCTCCAAGCCTTTCAGGCCGCCCCGGTCTCCTCATCCGGCCCGACGCAGCACGCGAAGATGGTGGACCGCGAGCAACTGGTGCAGAAAGCCCGGCTGGCCGAGCAGGCGGAGCGCTACGACGACATGGCTGCGGCCATGAAGAACGTGAGTTTCTCCTCCCCTCCCCCCGCCACTCCCTAACCCTTCTGAGAGGCGTTCTTTCGCGTTAGAGGCCCAGGGACTAGTCGCCTGTCGCGACTGCAGGGTTGGTCGCCCCTGGTCACTCTGAGGGGGCTGTGGAGGGTCCTGATCGCGAAAAGGACCTGGGTTGTGAAGCTGCCTTTGCTCCCCGTCCCAGAGGGCCGGCCGCGCTGCCTTGTCTGTCTTCCCCCAGCCCAGACCCGGGCGGGGTCTTCCAGGAGTGTTCACGGGTGCGGGGTCTCCGGCCCTCGCGTGCTGTGGGTCCGCTGGGGACCTGAACGGCGCCGTGCGCATCCTTTGTGCCCCACTTCCCCTCCTCCCAGCCTCGGGCGTGGGGGCGGGGGACCGCATGGATGCGGTTCCTCTTTCTCTCCCTGGTGTCTGGGCGGCGCCTTCCCGTTCACACAGCAGGTCTACTCTTTTTTCGCACCCCCCCTCCCCAATCGCCCTCCCCTCTGCCCTTCCTGACAGATCCTTTAGAACCTGCCCGGAGAAATTTAGGCTCCCCTGAAATCCCACGGTCAGTGGTGCAAAATCGAAACCTCCTCGTTCACGTTTTACTTAACAAAAGGCTCCCCTTTCTTCATTCCCCGTGGCGAGTCCTGCTTTTAGGAAGGGGAGACGTTTGTCTCACCAGCTTTTTCATTAATTGCTCTCAACATGTCATCTCCATTTCCCCTAATATTTTGTAATGAAAAGGGCAGGTATTGTTTTTAAAATAAAGGTGGTGAATGTAGCTGGCTCGTTAATTTGTAACATATGCTGTTTCTTTTTAAAATATAGGCACGCATATTGTTGAGATTCCTGTAAGTTGAAAAAAAAAATTTTCTCTGATACTGCAAACAAAGCGATGGTGGGAGGCAGTATCAAGTCATTCCAGAAGATTCTGCATTTGTCATATTGCAGAGAGCCTAGACTGGGTGGAGGCTGGGAGGAGTTGTTTTAAAGGGGAAAAAGTCTTTTTTTAAAAATGGTTTTGTTAGCGACATATGAGGCTTTTTTTTTATTTTTTTTTAAAAGCTAGTGCATCCTCACGCTCATGAAAAGAGAATACTGATCTCCAGTTGTCGCATTTTGTCTGGGATGCAGATTCCTGCCACTATTGCATCATTTTCTCAGTAACACTACATTTATCTAATGGGTTGTCAACCCGCTTGAGATTGGAGACGGAAAGAAAGCATTGAACATTACTAAATGATCGGTGGAAAATGATTCTAATTAATGACTTACATCTTACACTATCTTAATATTGAACTTCTTACCTTATGTAACAAAGATATTTAAAATGCATCTCCAGTTTGGAACAGATGCAGGAATGCACCTTGCATGTTAAATCATTTTAATGACACAGTGTAGATATTAGAGATCATTTTTGGGTAGCTATACTAGTTTACAAGCAATGACAATGTTGATGATGCCTTTTATTTAAACCAGTTACATGAACAAAAAAACGTTTTTATTTCATTGAGGAAGGGAGTTGACTCTGGGAATTGAGAGGACCCTATGACTTCATATGTTGCCATAGTTACCATTTTATACCATTTGAAAGCTCAGATGATACAAGTTGCATTTTTAATAGATACCACTGTTGAAAATGTTCATGGTATTTAGGCTCTTCTAATTTTTCCATATTTCTAGTTTCACAGGAAAGCGAGTGACCTCGCACCTATATCCATAGCAACCCAGTGATGTCACACACAATGACACAGAGGCTGCAATGCACCTAAGGGCTGATAGGGAGTATGCACATGGCATTTGTCCAAGGTAATGCAGAAATGAGTTGATAAACCAGGTAGGATTCAGCAGTTCATCTTCCACCAGATTAAAATTGACTTGCAGTAAGATAGCCCTGTTGGCCCAGAATGTAAGTGTATCATTTACCCTTAGATACGGCAGACCCGTGATCTCTGGATAAGCTTCGTTCAGTTGACTGTTTCTAGATTCTTCATGACAGTTTATAAGATCCATTCGTATTTTTAAACATTCATCCCACTTAATTGAAAAGTTGAGCAGTGATGGAATAAAGAGACATTTTAAGCAGGAATATATTTTATGGTCATCGTGTAGGGGCAACTGTGTACTGGGGCTCATTGCAAATAATTAACTTGGCAGATTGTGATTTAAAAAAACCCTGAAAACCATGTGACTTCTTACTGGATCACTTTCAGTGACTGTTGGAGGAAGAGAACCTGCTATGAGCGGGTTATTACATTCCTTTGGATTGGGCTTTGGCAAAGTTGTCCTGCTACTACTGCTTCTGCACTTTGACAGTATGGAAGAGAGACGGTTTGTAAAATAACCACCACTCGTCTGTCATTTTGTCGTACTGTGGTGGCTTATGTATTGCTGTGAAGCTGGAAGCTATGCCACCGGTGTCTCAAATACCAACAGGGTCACCAGGGGTGGACAGGTTTCAGCAGAGTTTCCAGAATAACAGACTGGGAGGAAGGATGAGGCCATCCACTTTTGAAAAAGTTGGCCTCTGAAAACCTTACAAATAGCAGTGAAAGATTGTAAAATAAAGCAGACCTCTTTTCAAACCCATTTACCATGACTTTGAGGGACCAGGCTTACCTCTGACCCTCATTTTCCTCATCTGGAAAAGGGGGCAACTCCCTACTAGAAAAAGTGGTGAGGGTTAAATAAATGGAGGTGCCCCCAAAATGGTAGCTACTTATAAGACTGTTTCTTCCTCTTGAGACAAATGATTTCATTGTAGAGAATTCGGATAATCCAGGAAGGTACAAAGAAATGCTTGCCACACTCACAGGCCCTCTCTTACATGGGGGAACAGTCCTGTTGATAAAGGGATTGGAATTTATTGGTGCTCAGTAAATTATCCCAGTAACAGCACTGCTGGGACCGATGGGTGACCAGAGGTGTGCTATAGGCAGTATCTTGCAAAGGAGGAAAGGGCACAGTTGGTTTTTAAGGTAACACGCATGGTCTTCCATTTAAGCAGAGTGAACACCTGAATGTTCCTACCTGTTAGTATTGTGTTGTGCTTTGGCTCTTGATAGTCTCTTGAGAAGTTAAGATGCTGAGGAGGCTATTGGTACTTAACTGAGGGGAGGAAAGATGCTACTGATTCTGTTGAAGTACTGGTTTTAGCATGTGAGCAGGGGAATACGAATGGTCAGGAGTCTTACTATCTTAAAAAAAATTCTGTCTTTTCTGCTTGCTCTTCCAGGAGGCTGGATCAATAGCCATTACCACTAATGGAGTGGTAGCACCTCTGTGCTGGGAGGTGGAGTTCTGCCAGCCATTATTCTAAAGTCATGTGGCTGGAATTGTTCTCTCCTTGGGATCAGCAGATGGAGATAACCGATCACTTTTTTTGGTGCTGTCCGTCACAGTAACTGAAATTAATATTAAGTACTTGTTCGGATTTTTAAAACTTCCTGTATCTTTTGAGTTATATTGCGAAAGAAGATGTTGCCAGTGTGCACCTACAGACCTTGGATGGGGTTTTATCCCTAGTACCGAGGGACGCCTTATTTATTCATTAAGCCATACTTTAAATTATTGAAAAGTAGAGAAGACAGTATGTTTTTAATTGAGGTGAAATTCACATAGCATAAAATTTTGAAGTGTGCCCTTCGGTGGCATTTAGTACAGTGTTGGGCAACCTGTTCCTTGCCCAGAGCATGAGAACATGGTAGTTTCAGTGATGATGGTCTAGACTATAGCTGGCAGGACCTCACAGCATGATCCCGATTCAGGGACGGGCCAGTAGTGGAGGGCCCACGACAGCGCACACCAGTAGTAATTGATTACCTCTTTTTTTGCTTTCTAGTATCAGAACCTTTCCAGCATAAATTGGGAAAGGGACTTAGTTAGGTTTGCCTTGTGTTTTTCTTTAAGTTACAGAGCTTATGAGCCACGTGATGCCACCTCCAGTAAATTAGGACAGTTGACCTGAAAGTGTTGCACATCAGTAACTGGAGGTGATGGACGTTTGCTGGTGCTCTGACCAGGACTCATTTTCAACCCCAGCGCTGACTTCATCACCCTTTCTTTGCATGCTGGGTGGTCGTAGTCCCCTAGTGAACGCTGTGCAGTACTGGGAGTGCTGAGCTGGCCAACCACGGCATCGTAGACAGTCCTCTAGTATAAGATGATGTATACGTTATGTGGTCACCAAAGTGCTCCTGAGGCTGTCAGGAGCCGAATGAGAAAGAACGAGTTCCCTCCCCGCTGGCAGCGGCACCAGCCCAACTTACTGTCGGCAGGATATCTGATTATTTTTATACTCCTGGCAGTTCCATGGGGCAAGGAAGAGAAGAAGCAAGAACCAGTTCAGATGTTTAATGGTTGAAGAGAAAAATCATTCTTTAAAAAATTTTATTTTGTGATGGTTGAGAATATGCACAGCAAAACGTACTCCAAAAAACGTATCCTCCTTTTTTCTGAATTGTGCCTCCTCCATAACATAAACCCATTGCCTCCGTGGTTCCTGTCTTGTCTCTGGAGTTGGTCATCCTGATCCTCTATAAACTCAAACCAAACCAAACTCACTGCCCTCGAATAGATTCCAACTCCTAGCGACCCCATTGGGTTTCTGAGGCTGTAACTTTTCACGAAGGTAGGTTGGCCCATCTTCCTTCTGTGGAGCAGCTGTTGGGTTTGAACCGCTGACCTTCTGGTTAGCAGCCAAATGCCTTGTCCACTATGCCACCAGAGCTCCTTCTGATCCCATATGGATAGATCTTAGAAGAGCAGTAGGTGTCTTTTGAAAAAACATTCTTATTTGGTCTTTCATCAATTCCATTTCTAGGTCTGTGTCATAAGGTAACAATATAAATGGTTTGAAGCTTGAGTCACAAAAGATGTTCACAACAATATTATTTATAAATGTAAAGTTTGGAACCACCTAAAGGCTAAATAGGAAATGAATTAAATTATGACACACCCACAGAAGCATTATTCAGCCATTTAAAATACTGATGACATAAAATAGCCTT